CAAATGGAAATATCGGCGAATTTTTTAGATAGAAAATATATTCTTTCCAAGGATGGGCGATTCTTTTTAGGACTTTGCTATTATCGGAGAAATGCAATGTGGTTGAAAACTACATGTCGAGGACAATTAGATTTGGCAGTCACGTGATTTTAGCAAATATACCTGAAGCATTGAGGTCATCTATAAATTCCAATATTGCAAGGGCATAACCAAGTTAAAAATCTAAGTTTAATTTATAATTATTTTCAACACTCTTTGTAGTTTGTGAAAAGTGCTGCGAACCTATATAGATTCTACTATTTGATTGTTAAAATTACATTTGTTAGACCGTATATTGAATATTTCGCTGGTCAAGTACATTAAATATAGATATAATTAATTCATTTGCAAGAATTCAACAGGTTCGCAGCACTTTTCAAATATCTTCATACTCCTTGAGTTTATGTGTAAAAGCTTGTCATAATTCATTGAGGGTATGCCCCTGCAATATATCGATTTATTACTACCCTTCTATTACCCTTCAATGAATTTGCATACAAATATACGGCAGTTTCACTTGTCTAGTGAATGTACGGTAAGTATATTAATAAATTCATAAAATAGACATCGCATCCAAGTTAATGACCTCTTATATATCTGCAAATAATATTTTATTTAATTACAAAATACATTTTTCATTGTATGAAATATAACTTGATCCGCCTCTCACTGCATACAAACTGCGTCAAATTTTACGATATGACGTCACATTGACAAGTGCATTGCGATCAGTGAATTGTTTTTATATTGATGTGTGGGATTTAACCAGCTACAAAAATGCATGCAATATCTAGTATTGATGTAGTTTAAAGCTATGCAACAGTTTAAAATAGCAAATCATTTCATTTTGTCATAATTTGAAGAACTTATATTTTTGAGTGATGTCATAGTAAGCATTTCCCGTATAAATTAGGCCCCGCCTCCTTACTGCAGCCTCAACTGTGCTGCGCACCGTGATGTGCAATTTGAAAGCCCCAGCTCCAACCAATCAAAACTTATGAGCTTATGAGGTTAAAGGTGCATGGATACAGATTTGAAGTTAATATTTTCTCAAATTTTCTGTATAATTTCATGACTTATATGTTGCTACAGCATTTCATACTAAAATATAATAAAAATCTTATTTCATCTCAAAGTTATCAAAACTTCGAATTTCTGGACGCGTTGGATTGATACATCCTTGCGCTTTCACAGATTTTAATTTTATTCTTAATATTTAAGAAAAGTGGAAATTTTGTTGTGTATTAATGAAAAATATTAAAACTATGACCCAGAAAATTCAGAGTAGAAATGTTCGAAAGCAAAAACCCACTCACAGTATTGTAAACTTGTCCGTGCTCAGTGGTGTGTGCAGAGTTTAACAATTGAACACACCCGGTGAATCGTAAACATTAACAATAACAGAGCTCGTGCCCTGTTTACAAAAACAGTTTACGTTTCACGGGTGTGTCCAATTTGTTAAACTCTGTACACATCACAGAACACGGACTGACAATACTGATGAGTTGGTTTTGCTTTCGAACATTTCTACTCTGAATTTTCTGGATTATAGATGTACTATTCGGTTATGACAGAATCGCTTCTTTTCTTAAATATTAAGGATAAGGTTGAAATTTGTGTACCAGGATAAGTGCAAAGATGTGTTAATCAAACACGTCCCGGAATTCGTAGTTCCAATAATTTCCAGATTTCCAGTTTTTATTATATTTTCGTGTGAAATGCTATTGCGATATATAAGTCGTGATATTATACAGAAAATATGAGAAAATATTAACTTCAAATATGTGTCCAAGCACCCTTAAAGTTTTGTAGACGAGCAGGCAGACAGAAAAACAGCTAGGCAGACAGATAGATAGAATGACGGACGGACAGAGCAAAGCAATATGCCCCGAGTCTTCGATTACGGGGCAATAAAAAAAGGAAATTCATATGATTATTTTGATTATAAGAGTACATGTATACACACAAATAAGTTGTTACATGTGGTTTATAGCTTTAAAAGAATTTATAGAAACCTCAGTTCTACATGACCCCTCCCTAATAATTCCGATCTAGTAAACCGGCTTTGTGATAAACGATAAATTGTATGTATAATAAAAAAGTATAATTGATGGAAACTAATATTGATAACATTTGTTTGTCGTAAGGAAATGAATGCAAATGATTGATAAAAATTAGAAACTTACACATTTTAGTACCTTGAAACACACTAAAGGGACATCTGGTAATTATGTCTTCTCCAGCATGAGGACACAAATTGGTTTGGGTATGTTTGTCTGTTTGTACAAATAAAAGGCCCCGATCACCTGATAGTTATAAGTTTCTCAGGCTATGACCACTTTGGCCCCACCTGGAAGCGTTCGGTGAGATATATTCATTACCGTCTTTATGCAGCTTGTCTCCTAGATGTCCAGGAGAAAGAAGATAAAGCACATCATTACAGCTCAAAAAACTTTTTAACCTAACATGCTTTGTGAACAGAAATATAATGACTTTTGCTATTTTATTTTTTATATTCATAATTGATAATAACTTTTAGTAATAAGTTGCAATTGCTCCCCTTTTTTGAATGGATAATAGCCTCAATGCATTAAGACATGCTAAGTTATCAGAGAACTTATTTTGGAATTAAGCACCGTTCTCGCTAGAGTGATTTCCACTTATCTTTTAATTTATAAGTTGTTGGCATGTTTTGAGTAAGATTTGGTCTTCTTTATCTGATCCCAAATGTTTTCTTTGGTTGTGAATCAGGACTGTTCCAGGAATTGCAAAAACCACATTTCGTCTGAGGAACTCTCTTGTGATTTTTGAATTATGGCATGCTGCTAAATAATACCTACAATACAAATTGCTTCATGGGAAATACTAAACAGATACACATGGAACTAATAGCTTTCAGTATGACTAGCTTTGTCCCATATCCTGCAGCCAGGACCCTAAACTCAGGATCTATGAGTTTTACAATTTTGGTAAAGGACTCATTGCGTAAAGAAAACGACTTTTGGAGATTGCTCTAATTTTAATGGTTTGGCCACACCCATCAGGTCCAAAGGAGTCAGAGACCATGAAATTTACAATTTTTGTCCTCCTTCATACACATTAGTAGATTCTTTGTACCAACTTTGGCTGAAATAGATACAATAAAAAGCTGAAAATATTCAAAATTTACGACAGACAAACAATGATTGAAGGACGTTGGACGACGGCGGACGATAACAGATAATAATAGGTCACCTGAGTGACTCATGTACCCTATATCTGTATATAGCAGGACCAGGTTGCGTTTAGTGATTAAGTCCATTGTTGTTGGCGCAGTGCAGGCCGATACTTTCGATGGTAAAGTCATTCAGTCGTACAGATTTTGTCTATATTTTCTTTAAATGAAAAAGGTGAAGATAACGATAAAAGGTGCAGTAATGCATTCGTGTATTTTACTACAAGGTGGGATATTAATAAAAACCGGGTTCATCAGTATCTCTGTTGCTATAGATCTTTTTTGTTAGAATATTGCAGTCACTGTGGTATTAAGTGTAATTTTAAGATGAAAAAAACCCCCCAACTTTTTACTGGTAAATCTCACATGATTAAACCATGTTATTATTGGATTAATTTACAGAATGCAAAATCAACCCCTGTTTCTTGGTCAGAACTTTTTAGCCTTTAACTGGAATGAATTCAAACTTCATTATGTTGTTGTCCATGATCTGTCATTATCTTCACTCAGTTCCATCCTTCAAAGGTAAAGTTCAAGCAATGAGATATCAATAGAATATTTTCAACCATATTTCTGCAACTCTTGATATGAATGGCCTCAAACTAAGCTGATAAGCTTGACATCAGGTCAAATCTCAAAGATGAGATGTTGAGATTATGATGCAAATCTTGTTCAGTCACGAACTTTGAACCGTCAATCAAAATACATGCAATCTGAATACCTTAGATGTCCTCAATCATTGGATAAGTCATGATTTTACATTTTTGTTTCAGGTTCATGTAGTCAAGGTAAAATAATAATAGTCTTGGGTATATTTGGGAATTGGGGAGGCATTTAAACTTCAGAACCTCATTAATCTTTGAGATATCACAGGATGAAACTCTGCCATTCAGTTAACTGAAGGGTGACTGAAAGTATACTGAAAGATGACTGAATGACAGAGCTCTGGCATTCAGTGACCTTTTCAGACTTTTGTCACCATTCAGTTGACTGAATGGTGTAGGTTCATCTTGAGATATGATCTTGATTCAAAATCTTCACACACAAAATGATCATTAGCAACAACATGCTAAATTTTGAATTCATTCCAGTCAAGGGTTAAAAATTAATGGCCAGACACAGTTTCTGCATCTGATTGTTCATTGACTCAAACCTTTCATAAATGATTTGAGTCAAAATCATGACACATATAAAGTCATAGCCAACAACATACTATAGAATAAATTCATTTTTTTCCAATCAGGGTTTTCAGATTCTTCAGTATCTTAATTTCCAAATGGCTTTGCATTTGCAGATATCACCATGAGAAGTGATGTTGATCTCAATTCTCAAACCTTTCACTTTTGTAAGCTTTATTACATGTTTTAAAAAGAGAAGTTTTTGTTCATGTGGCTACGCTATGGGCAAAGTATTGATGCTTAGTTCTTCAGATTGTGACCTTGACAAAGACAAATAAAACAACAACATACAAAATTATACGATTTTTATTCTAAATTTAACATAAGGTTTTGAGCTTCTTTTATTTTAGAGTGTGAATGCCAATATTCAATACAGTTGATAGTTGAATTACAAAAATTGGCATCATTATTTTTTTTCCTGCTAATTAAAAACAAAATACTAGTATGACGTAAAATTATCTTTGGCAATGAATGGTTTTTAAACAAAAACTATATAAAACTAGATGTATAAGGTATGTAATATCAATTGTAAATGATAAATTGATCCACTCAAAAGACTCTTTCGAGAGATATTAAAAACAAATATATATAGCACTAAAGAAATAACATACGATTTCCAAGAATTAATAATATACAGACGTTCCATCATTTACATACATGTATGTTACATGTCTTATCATTAATTAATTTTGAAATTGCATGATAATTCATATCTCATCTTCATTATATTGATAACAGTTGTGAACTTTTCCAAAAATAACACAACCACCTTCCAGATTGCTCTGCTTGCAAATATTCTAAAAAAGTTTGTTTTTGGAAATAAAATTTTTGATAGAAAATTCGAAGTATTTGTCGCAAAATTAATGATTGTTCCTCTTCTTTCTCGTATTCTCGTTTAAAATTGCATAGAGGATATGACGTAGAGGATATGACGTTTGTCCTCCAGATATGTGAGAGAGTCTGCAAATAACCAAAAAGATATTCGATTTATAATGCGTTTCTTTTATTTAATGTTAAATGAAAATTGTAAACTAACCACATAGATATTAAGATAAAATAGTTCAGAGTGTTAAAATGCAGATATTGCTTACTACATACCATACCCGCTTCAATTCATCGTAATTGCGACTGCAGGCAATTATGCGTTCTGCTTGCCTCTGAATGTAAGAAGAAAATATGAAGATATGAAGATAAAGAACAGTAATCAAGCTCAAAAGTCTATTGAAACAATACAAATTTGGAGCAGAGCCAACACGGATCTCTAAAAACATCAGAAGTGGGATCAGGTGCCATAGAGCAGAAAGCATCCCGTGTCGACTGGTTACACCCTCCGTATGCTCCTTGTCATGATTGTGCAAACGAAAAAATCAGTGTGAAAATAAAGGTCTAACAATTTGTGTGAAAAAACGTAAGTCAACATTCGACTCTATGATAGATTGTACTCGCTAACAAGGTCATTATATCGACCTTAGACATTTCCAAATGTTGACTGAAAACGAGACTATTAATATTCTTATTTCATCTACTTATTTGTCAGAAGCTTGCCTCATTTTAGAAATTGTTCGTACGTAGAGCATGTTCTTGCGTATCGAATCATATGGGAGGCATAAACCCTCTGTGCAGTTGACAAAAGTATATTGCTGCATAAATAATGGAAGTTGACGATAGAAAAGTTGAAGTCATCACGTTTATCGTCAAGATTTGTTGTTAGGTTAGCATTAATGTCTTTTTCTTGTAAAATATCCTTATATGAAACAGATGTGTCAGACTGTTATCTTTTCTTTCGGGTTCAAAGGGATATATCGAATCAACGTAGGAATGAAAATAAATATTGTTAATTGATAAAACGTCGTCGATATGTATAAATGTTGAACTCAGGGCCACAGCTAGATACTTTCTTTTCTTGTAGAAGTCTCCGAATAAATTCTGCCTCAAAATAAATACAAAAATAGGTCTGCTAATATAGATTGTTGGAAGACTTGATCTCCAAACCCATTGTATACTAATTTGATGATATGTTTTCATAGACATGTGCAACGATATATTGAACGAAGATTGGTAAACAAAATACTTAAAGAGAATTTTATTTTTGAAATGACAGAATAATAATGTGTAAAACTAATCAGCAATACCGCACAATATCGGATCAATACTTTTATTTTCTATTATATTCCCTTTCGCAAACATTGAAGTGAATTGAGGAAAAACACATTATCACTTACCTGTATAACCCTCATTAAATCGTACAATAATTTCGTATCTGTCTTAGTCAAACAGATGTCGTCGACCAATGGAGCTGTATTAGAGGACCTTTTCCCACTACCCCAGCTCGTAGAGAAACTGACTTGACCAAATGAAACTGTCAATAGGCTTACGGCAACCAATACCTGAATCCAGAATTTACAGAGCATGGTCTGGTTCAACAAACGTCCTAAAACGTCAAAAGAATCTTAAATTAGCGAATGATAAGGAAATGAAAAGTAAAGAAGGTACGGTTTCAATAGAGATCTGAACCTGTATTTCTTTTTTATATAAATATGAAATCGTTGTGGGAAATTAGAACTCATGCTTTCTAAATTATTCAAAGACATTGCAATAAGGTCCTGAAGATCGTTTTGCGTATATGACCTCCTAAATGCCAATAGTGACGTCATAAATTTGTGCATTTTCAAGTATTTTCTTAAAAAGTAGCAGAAGACATCAATTTTCAGTATAATTTTCTTTCAGACAATCTAGACTACATGCACCGCCCACAAAGATTTTAAGAAATTCGATTTCTCAAAACTTTTTACAAAACATGTCCGAAAATTGAAGTTGGCGACGGCTGTGGACACTATTTTCATAAAGAAAATAACCCTTAAAATGAGTCATTTTAGGCTTTTTCTGTTTAAAATGTAGAAATGTAAGAACTTATGACGTCATATTTCCAAAACAGTCTTTCTTTTTACCATTTTCTTTCCTGATTTATCACAGTTATGCATTCATCTCAACATATTTAAAACCAATTTTAAAACATTTTGAAAACATCGAAATTTAAGGGCATCATAAACCCAAACCATACCAATTTTTTGGGATAATTTAGTAAAACATACGCCACACTCTATGAATATTTTTGAATCTGCATGCTTTGTTGTTCAAAATTTCTTACATATATTGAAATTAACATTGCTTCTCAATCTTTTATACAAGGTTACGTTCTGGCATCCTTACTTTGTTATTAAGGCATTTAAACCCTTTTCTTTAAGGATGTTTGGGTACATTCATGACCTTACAAATTTTATCAAATATTTTACTCACTATATTCGCGGATATAGCTGCTATATTCATGTTTAGATACAAGAATTAGAGAATTCTAAATTGAGTGCAAATATAGGTCCTGCATTTATTGGGAAAATCACGATTAAGCGTAAATATCTTTAAAAATATTATCCATTTGCGGTGTTCGTGGATAAAATCACGAAAGGCCGTGCCAAAATAGCCAAAACATGTCTATTACTATCAATGATACAATACAATTTTGTAATACTGATTATTATTATTAGAGGGTGTTTATGATAGATTAAAGATATACAAAGATTACTTAAATGCAATATTATATTAAAGAAATTTTGAAATGCACGCAGATTATTGGGTAACTCCTACAAACGTTCATTCATATTTATTTTGAGCAGATAAAATGAAATAACCATTATTTTTTTAAAAAAAAAAATCGTGAACTCATGAATGTACCCAAACACCCAAAAATACCCAAATACCCCAAAAAGGTTTGAAGCCTTGCATGATAGCAAAATTAAACTTGCATGTAATCAGTTCTTGTATCTAAACTTCAAGGTAACGGGTGTATTTGTGGTCATACTGTGAAAAGATATGCTATAAATTATTGGAAAAACATTATTAACAATCTACAACCTTGCGTAAATCCGAGTAATAAAAATTAACACCTGTAAACGAGGCTTAGAATATCTTTTGTAATTGTTACCTGCTGACAGGTTTAAAATAACGACTCAATTATTTTACCTGAAAGGGGGGATTAATTTAGCTTACTGCTCGAGATAGTTGTGTTATGCCTGTTGTTAAAGAAATTTATGGTTAGGTTTTTTGCTTCGTTTCCCATGAAAATGAAAAAGTAATAGATATTCTTTGTTCAATAAATTTTGTCGCTATCGGAATGCGCGAGTCAATAAATGAGCAGAGAGATTTCAAGTCTCTTACGTCAACTGTTGATTGACAGATTTTTTTTTTTAGACAGAAAGATTTTTTTTATATTTTCATCAATGTTGACGTATTTGAGATTGCCAAAAAAAAATGTGTTTGGTCTTTGGCAATGAAAGTATGAAAAAATATGAAGCAAAATATTTTTTTTTCATTAAATTATTTTATTTTGTTTACTTTCCATTGATATTGCCAAATCCCAAAACCTGTTCACCCCTTGTAATAATTCTTATGTTTGTCTCTATAATGTGTTTCTTTATACCCGAAATACAAAGGACGATTTTTGTATTTGGTCTTTGGAAATGAAAATAATAGAGGATTTTTGAATTTTCTCATTTTTTCTGATGTTATAGATCTAAACAGACTATAACATCGGAAGGAATGATAAAAATTTATTTCAAGGCAATCATTTCATTGACGTTTTGAACTTCGAACTGCCTTGTGTAAATTGAATTGAAAATATAGATATATATGAAGCGTTTGAAGTTTATCTAAATGTACTTCAAGTCCTCTTGCTTTTCAAGGCACACTTTTTCTAAGAAAATAATTATATAAAAATAAGTTATTAAGTGCGTGTCCAAGAGAGAGGTACGACCAGACAAAACTAGCTAAATAAACAAACATAATACACAACATCGGGAATACTTTGGATTAACATAAGAATCAACAAGCATGCGGAAGACAGACTCTCTGAAATTTCGAAATCTTTAGAGAGTGCATTGAAGAGAATAGGCGAATATTAGAACTTAAAATAGGTATACTGTATATTTTGCAGTTCTAACAAAACCATACGCCAAATGTATTGCTCAATGTTTAACAAGTATCCGTACATGTCACATGTACATTGCGTGGGCTCAGCTGCAAAATTTATGACGTTTATAGTTCTTTATAAGTACATGAATATTAATTAAGACTTAATGGACCCCTCCCCCCAAATTCTGATATTTAATTTTAATTGTTCCACTCACTAAGCAAACATTTTGATTGAAAATTAATTCATATAAAAAAGGGGTAACGGGGATTGTCTGGAAAAAATTCGTGGAACTGTTACGTTTTTAAAGATATTAAAGTCAATAAAGCTTGAATATGGTATGAAAATATTTGTCCATGAAATTCTTGTCCTCTTGTCATCAGTTGAGTTTAATGTACAATAAATACTAGTTGTAGGAATGAACCACTTCAGGGTCGTGTAGGGGGAACCTCCCAAAAATTTGACAAGCCAAGAAAAGTTAACTACCCAATCAAAAATCCTATTTTGGTAGGGGGAGTGGTGGAGGGGGCGTTAGGGCTTTCTGTAAATCTTTGGCACATTTTTATTTCAAATGCTGGGATGTGCTAGTGTACAACCTCACAGCATCAAAAATTCCGGGGAGTCATACAGCACGGGGAGACAAACAGCATCTAAATGAAAATTTTCATATGAAAACAACAGCAAAAGACTATACCCGGAACCCCCCCCCCCCCCCTCTTCTTCGCGCTCTACGGGCTTGCGCTTTCATTAAGTATTTAAAGCAAATCCCATATATAAATGTAGATAAAGAACATCGCGGCTCGTGAAACGTGGTAATTCTATCATTTACATGTACTTATTTTCTGAAACGGATTACGACATATTAATAAAAAAAAGCACATCGCATTAAAATGACGAGGGTTACCAATTTTTTTGAATTGTGTATTAAGCTTTGTTAGGGTATATTGTACTTATCTATTTATATCTTGTACTAAATAAAACGTGATGCAATCAACTCTTTAATGAATTTAAACGTTACCATATAGAATAGCACAATTTTCTCTTTCTTAATGTAAGAATAGTACTATAGATATGTTTATAAAATGTAGTTTAGACATAATTAATAAAAAGGACTATTTAGATATTGCCATACTTATCTATTTAGATCTCAAGCTGTATATGTTTTTGCATAAAATAAAGGAATTAACAGCAGAATGCATCTGTCGATATTTATATGTTGTAAATTTAAGCTTCGGATCTTATGCATTTTCAAAATCAACTTGCTTATTCACAATGAAATATCACACAATTTTTAACTTAATTTTAATTATTCAGAATGAGCATATTATGAAAGTGTTTCTATTTCAAATATTTTAAACATAAATAAATTTATCTTTATGAGATGCCTGATATTCTCAAAAGTCCATTTAAACAATACAAGTTATAAGCAGAGCCAACACAGACCTCTGAAAACAGAGGTGGGATCAGGTGCCATTTGGGAGTAAGGACCCCTGTCGACCGATCACACCCTCCGTGTGCTCCTTGTCATTACTGGGTGAAGGGGGAAAATCCGTAGACAATTCAGAGTGAAAATAATGGCCTAACAATTTGTACGAAAAACGTCAGTCAACAATTTTACAATGACAGATTGTACTTGCAATTAAGTTTATTGTATCGACCATAGAAATGTTGACTTTAAACGAGATTGTTGATATCCTTGTATCATTAGCTTGTTTGTCAACAGCCTGCTAAAATCTTGAAGAAATATATATTTGTAATACTATATTTAGTAAACAGACAATAAAATTGACAGGTTGATGATTTCTTTTCTTCTTTTTTATTATTTTTTTGACGTCTTTAATATATGCTTCTATGTATAACTCTAATTTCGAAGAATGAAAGAATATCATGAATGAACCATCAACCAATATTGCCATTACAGCTACATGTATATATCTAAAGCAGATGTTTTTTCATTAATTTGACCTTTCTACCAGCGTAAATTTATGTCATTAGATTTTAAAACATAATTTTAGGTATCAAACTAATCTTTTTGGATATTTATTTTGATGAAAATTGGAAAATATTCTTAACACATATGTATACATTAGGAAAAAAAAAAGATGTATGGACATTACTTCTTTACCCTGGATTATGAATTATTTGCAAAATCCTTAAATTCAACTTCATTCACAGATAAGTATATATTTTTCTAAGACATTATTTTTTCAGAATTATTAATATTTGAGTTAAAAGAAATCAAAACAAAAGTCCAAGACAGAACAAAATCCACTTTTTAACTTTGTAATTTGCAAGGGAATAAATAAAAGAGATTTAAGTCACAAATACATTAAAATTTAATCTTGATTCATTAAAAAATAACTATAACACAATCCTTTAAGCACCTAGAAGCTACATACCTCTTAAGTTATCGTAAGCCCTTTTTTGAATGACAAGTGAATTGAAGTGAAAGAACGATAAAACA